GCGTGGGCAAGGGGTCATTATTCTTAAATTTCAGCCTCCTAGACTCCGAGGTTCCCGAGATATTAATTTACCCGTAAAAAACTTTCATGGGCCCATACTTGTTACCCGCGGGTACGGGGAAGCTGAATTTAAATTTGCGGAGTCACACGTAGGTGGGGAAAGTTCCCCAAATTTTCAGCTTCTTAGTTTTTGCGGTTCCCAAGTTGAAAGTTGCGGACAAGTTGCTGCGAGGACACACACACACACACACACACACACACACAAACACACACAGACAACCCCGTGACAATATGCGTTTTGTACTGCTGTTACACAGCACAAAACGCATTAAAAAAAAAACGCAATAAACACTGACCTGCAAAATTGCTGCCCAAAAGATGTTTTAAAACATCCCCATAGACGGCACCACTGTCGGCTAGTCGTGAAAACACCGATAACGCAAGTGCAAATATTTCCAGTTCGCAAAATTCATCCGCTGGCATTGTGCCAAAGAGCTTATTGTACAGTATTTTCAACGATGAATATTTAATCGTAGATTTGTTGTTCGCTTCTGCAAATGAATTTGCCAATTTCGCAATGCACCACAGCCAAAGGTCAGCATTACTTACGCATCTTCAGAGTCAGAAAGTTACAGTTTTGAAATCTTCTAAGTGGTAAAAGGTGACTTACTAAAAAAAGTGGCTTACTACGAGTGGGTTGTTGATCTCTGACAATAATTTTGTTTTTTTCGAGGTTATATCGAAAAAAAAAAATGCTAAATATAACATATTCTTAGCTTATTTGTTCTGAGCAACTCAAAAGAAACATATTCAGGGACTTTGCCATAAGCTGATGAAGCAGAAATTCCCAGGAAGGACAGGAATCATGGCCCCTAAGGTGCCAAAAACCAAATCAGAGAATGACCTGTAATTTCGTAACACTACGGCCAAAAAACCCCAGTTAATAACATGCCAAACTAATTTTCCAGTTGCTCGGACAGTTCGAATTATAGTCAAACAAAATACCTCTACAATCTGCTGCTGAATCTTCCTCCTCATCATTTTCGAAATCTTTCGATTCAGCGCGCTGAAGATGATACCAAACGGTTGCCTGCAAATTCGAAATGATGGTTTTTCAACGTGATTTTATGCTTCATCGAAGTAAGATTTATTAGGAAAAAAAAAAAAACCAGGCTGAAACGCACCAGACGAGCCGGTGGGATCATGCGTTTTTGCACCACACTTTCAGGTACCCCATCAAATTTCCCTGCCCTTGCCCTACTCCTCCACTCGCTATTTCCGTCCCTCCCCTTCCCCCGCCCCCGCCCTGGACATCTATCTTCTTGAAGCGGTGATATTGTGCTGCATTATACAGTACAATTACAAAACGAATCATGAACCATAAACGAACCA